ATATATATATATGGCCTCTTGGACCATTTATATCAGAACTGATTACTGCTTTAGCATTAAAATATCCTATATTATTATTATTATTATTATTACTGTACACACTGTAAATAAATCTTTATTCCTGACTGTGACGTTGCCATTAATGTGTTTCTAGTTAAAATATTGATTTTTTTATTTTTTTATTTTTTGGTAGATTGGCTTATGGGGTGATTTTGAGTTAAGTTAATCTTCTCATAAGTGGATGTAATATGTAGAGATGCCATCTAAGCCGTTTTTCTTCGTTTTTTTTTTAAAGTCTATATTTTGCTTTACAAAAACGTGAAAAAGCAGCTGTGACCAAGCTATCACGAGGTGAGTAGCATTGTAAGCATAATTAATAGCGATATACTTTAGTTTGTCTTTGTGTTTTTGTATGCAAGCGGGTCTGCTGCGGTCTGCTGACAGTCCAAAATGGCGGCGGTACGACGAAGCCATGGGCGAGTCTGTTGCTATGGGGCGTTCTATTGAGCTTTGCCTCTTGGTATCCATAAGTTACTCTTTGTTTGCGTGTCGACCGGCTACATTCCCGCGCTGGCCCACAGGAAATGCCGCGTTTTACCTCACAACAAGAAGGGAGGGGGAGGAAGAGCTGAGAGTCTCATAGGAAGAGGTAGAGCGCAGGTAGAAAGAGAAAGCAACATGGCGGAGAACCCAAAGAAGCGGCTGAGACACGGTTCAGAAGTGGATTCTACCACAAAGAGAAAGCCTAGACGTTCGGCTGAAGGTCTGTTAGCAAAGAAGGAAAGTGACCGACGGAGAAGGCAAACAAGGATTTGTATTGGCGTAGCTTTTCCTCGGTGGAGAGCCCTGAAGGAAGAAATTGGGCTGAGGGCAGACACGGATGTTGCCTTGCTGCTGTTGGATAAGTAAGTGATTTGGTTTATATTATATTATGAGTAGTATGTGTTGCTGTTACATGTACTGGACCTAGTACTTAATTATTTTCTTAAAAATGGTGCTATGAACGTAATGTAATGTTAGCAGCCTGGTGTTCGTCACATTGTGTAGCGTTGTGTACACGGTGTGTGGCGAGTGTTATTCTGTGTACACGGTGTGTGGCGAGTGTTCTGGGTCCGTCCCAAGTCTCTTAAATTACTGCTAGTTATCTTACCTAGCCGACTTTGCTAGCTGTTTAGCCCCTCCCGCCTAGGAAAAAATGCGAGGAGCTTGCGCTAGGAGCGATGAGCGAGCATTGTCGGTTTAAGAGACATGAGACGTCCTTTCCACTGAAGCGTCACGTGAAGCGACGGCCATTCCTGATGACGGCGGCACAGCTGGATCTGCTGCATAACGGAGCCAGCGTTGGCGTAACGTTACATCCCAAGTCACATTATATTCACTGATCAAAGCAGTAAGCAGCTGCTGAGTGAATAAGACATCAGACCTGTCGGTCTTCCTCAATCAATTCAATTTTATTTATAAAGCCCAGTATCACAAACCACAATTTGCCTCACAGGGCTTTACAGCATACGGCATCCCTCTGTCCCTCACAGCGGATAAGGAAAAACTCCGCAAAAAAGCCCTTTAAAGGGCCAGTGTGTAATATTTGGCATGGTTTATTGTCAAATCTGAATCTGAATATTCTACCCATTAATATGTTTATATAAGTGTATAGTCGCTATAAAATAAAATTCGTTTGGTTTTCATAGTCTTATAATTATGCTTTATATTTATATCTCTCTC